ATAAATAAATCACCAATAAACATGTTACATTTTGTTCGGTAAAAAGTGTTGCAGAGGAATTCAGCTGCAAACTGACGCAAATAGTTATTTTCACATTTTGTTTCTGTAAGTTTGAAAGTCACAAGATACAGTGTGTTAGTGAGCTATTGATTTGCAGAATTAATATTGAAGGGAGACATTATGCTTATATTCAGGTTCATAATTTAAATTTCGGTTACTACTGCAGGTTTACGTGCTCGAATGTTTAGAAAACACATCACCTGCTGCAGCTCCTCTTTCCAGCCTCTTTCTAAAACACTTTTTAGCTCCTGTCTCTCTGAGCCTTGCCTTTGCCAGTCTGCTCTGGGCATGATTACAACTCAAGCCCTTCGGTCCCGGTTGTCTTGATCTTTGTCAGCTGGAGCCAATCCCAGCTGTCATTGGGTGAGAAGAAAGTTAAATAACATTAATCAGTTGTCTTAATAAAACTTTCAATTTCGTTTAATAGAAACTAAATTTATTTTAAAAAGAAAAAGTTGATTCAACAACAATTGTGTTTTTCTGTCCTGTGCTGACATTTCATAACTGCTGCTTCATTCCTGAACTCCTATCAGCCTCTCAGTAACCTTGTGAACAGCCCATCTGCACGATCTTGCTCACCTTCATTCAGATCTTCATGTATCCTCCCATTCACACACTGAGCTCAACTATGCTTAAGTTACACAACTCCTGCTGAACAGCTGAAGCAGATTGTTGTGAGTGTGTGCTGCATGTGAGCTTGTTTCATCCTCAGCCAGTGCAGGAAACAGGCTTAAATACAGAGATCCACACTAATCTTGTTAATGTGCTCTTGACAGGTCTAAGCTGTAATGACACAGGATTTGTCTCACCACCTCTTCATGCAATATTTTATCTTTCTCAGTGCTGGCTTATTCCACCACAGCCCTTCTTACCATGCGTGTCGGCCAAACTTATTCAATGCACCTGCTTAACTATGCAACGCATTACGTTTCTCCTGTCATTTTCAAGCAGCGTGTACCTCCAATTTTCTGTGATTTGCCCAATGAAAGCTCTCTGGTTGTATATCTGCTTCCCTCTGCAGCTTCCTGTAACATAAGGAGTGAAACACAACAAATGCAGCACCCCCTGAAGCTTGATATTGTCTGTAATTATAACCCAAGTCATTATCCCACTGAATCAGGCATATTAACCACGACATAGTCAGCGTCTCTGTCATTTTTAGCCCATTATTGTTTCATGATCTGTCAGCTCAGCCTCCGACTCAGTGTTTCACCCAAAAGGTGCAGAAGCAAACTTGTTTTCCTTAACATTCCTTAAGGTTATGCTTGGAGTGCTGCCACACATGACTTCACTGGTACCATTTAGTCTTTAGTTTTAATTCTCTATTTGTAAAAAAGAGAAAGGGGGGGAGGGGGCGTGGGCAGAGCTGTATCAGTAATCATCTGCTGGAGTTCTATCTGAATTTGTCACGCACTCTGAAAGTTGTCTGGCTGGCTGGCTCTCGCTGATCAAGTACAGGATGTTCTGGCAGCGCGAGATAAAAACACTGTGCGGGGAAAGGGATCTCCCAAACACTTCCCCTTTGTTCCCACCTGACCAGGCCCGACGCCAACACTTAGTTTGTGTTTAGGAGCTCACAGCGAGACTGTTAGAAACGGTGGTCGACCTCACATCTGTGTCAGGGATTTTGAACAAACCAAATTGAATATATATTCGGTGGCTAAAATTGTAAATTGCTAAAACAGTTTTTTACCTTTAACCATTCAAAGACAAAAACAACATCAGAGAGACCAGAATATTGGAAGTGTCTGTTTATTACAATATTGCAAACAAACTTTCAGGCAAGTGGCTTGAGGAAATACTCAGAAGAGCAAAATTCACAGCAGCAGTTATGTGTGTAGTCAGAAGCTTAAAGTACTGCAATGCTAGACTGAGCGGTAATAAATGGTAGGTCAGCTTTAACCTTTCACTCATCTAAGTTTAGTTCTGTAAAAAGAAGCATTTGAGGTAAAGATAGTGTACAGTTTGGATTTGAGGTATTTCTTGGGCTTTAGCTTTTAAACTTTATTTTTATGCCAGCGCTTAGGTACAGTAACCCATGTGAGCATGCTGGGTTCACCAGTACACTTACATCTTACATATACAGAGGCCAACACGCCAGAGTCGTAGATTCATTAGACTCCATCAAATCATAACTTATTAGATCACCATGAAGGTATCATCCTAAATTTAAAGGAAGGGTCTCAGACGTACAAACAATTTATAACAGATCCACTGAAGTCACGTGATATTTAGAAGAATAACCTCTTCTGGTTCAATGACACACCTGGAGGTGCAGCCTGGACACGTCGTCAGTGTTTAACCTGAGGTCATCAGGTGTTTCAGGTCTTGACATCAGGCCCTGACTTGTATCCAGGTAGCGCACTACACCACTCATCCCCTTTCCTCGACCAGAGCCAGTGGGAAGACCTCTCTGCGGCTTTCAATGAAGAGGCTGGCCTTCCATTATTAGCTCCACTGAGGAGGTTGTGTTTTCACCCATCTGTTCAGGTTAGTTGTTTTTGTTTGTAAGCAAGATTACACAGAAATACAAACTTTCCATAAAACCTGGTGGAAGAATCTGGTGCATGGGACAGTGAAGAACCCATGAAGGTTGGTGCAGATCAAATCGGGGGGGTGGATACTGGATTTTTTTCACTTTCTTTAACATCAGGTCCATTTAAAGGACTGATATGTGATTGTATGACATTTGTTGCAGCTGACTGAATTGAAGTTGGGCCTTGGCAGAGGTATAGACTCTGCTGGGTGCTACTCTAGCTCCAAAACACTTTGGTCATACGCTAACAAACGCTCAAATCCAAGACTTTAAAGTCAGTGCGTCAGTCTCGCTGAGACAGCAAGTGCATGAAAGTTTCTGTAAATGAACAACAGGAAGACCAAATCATTTGGTTACTGGCATCTTGAGTATGGAAATTAGATGATGAAGGGTGATGGTTGTTTCCATAGAGCAGCATCCTACAAATCGGTGTATACAAAAAAAAGAGCCAAAATAACACTGATAGAATTTTCATATAGGTGCATGCCACACCAGAGCGTACCCTTTACACTCCAGTCAAACGATTACAGTAGGTTTCAGAATATATTATATGACTGTACAAAGCACTGTAGCTAAAACAGTATGTTCAGTTTCACACACCTTATTCCTGAGTAACTATGCTTTTATACTATATATATATATTTTTTAAACTAGATATATATGTAGTTTATGTTAGTAGACATGAGCATATTCACCTGTTTATGTAGATTCACTGAATGGTCGGTCTAACCTTTGGTGACAAAGTGCCACAAAGAAATCTTGAAACTCCAGTTTTGGCTGTTTAACCTTCAAATATCACATCTTTATGTTTGTTTTGAGAAGTTTGGAATGACATTTAAAGGATCTGGAGTAAAACCACGTATAAAAAGTGAATATAAATGGTGGCTAAATTAAAGGGATTCCTGAAAAGATAAAATGTTTCCTTATTCTTATCTGATGACAAAATGTTAATAGAGAGTACAACAACAACATGAAGTCCCCTATAAATTCCTCAGCGCTCTCCAGCAGCTGTTCAGACTTGTAAGGCCAGTTTGCCTGCGTCGAGGCTGAGGCTGTTTGCTGGTGATGCGCAGCTGAGTCCTCCACCTTGATGAATCAATTGACGATGCTATGTTTCCTAAGTGGTTTGTCATATTGCGTCTGATGTAGGAGGAGATTCCTCCCAGGTGAACTGCTGCTTGCATGAGACGTTGCGTGTCTGCACTACACACCATGTCTCCTGTGAAACACATCTGTTTCCGTCTGGCGCTACAATACTTAGAAATCAGTAATCGGTGATCGGAACTGTTAAATCACTCTCAACATTAGAGGATAAGAATTTATCCTCAGATTTCAGGTTATAAATACAGTTTTAGCCCACAAACATGAGCGACACAAGTCTGCACAAGTCTTTTTTGTTTCAGCCTTCATTTTTAATGCTTCTTATAGTTTTAATTTCATTTAGTTTTTGTTTGTGAGTCTGATGAGGGCTCGCCTTTGACCTCCTCTGCACTTCTGCCCCTCGTAGCCTCGTCTAGCAGCGACATTTGTCCACGCAGGGCTACTGCTATGGAGAAGGCATGAGGTTTCAGTGTCAGACCATAGTCGTAGTCTAGTTTGAGCGGCCTGGTCGGGTCCGCGGTGATGTGGCACTGGTGGGCGATGAGGGCGGTGAAAAGGAACAGCTGCATCTTGGACAGCTCCTCGCCGATGCAGCGCCTCTTGCCCTGCGAGAAGATGAGCACGCTGTTGGTCAGGTCCTTGTTCAGATCGCCATTCTGGTGCAGGAAGCGCTGGGGGTTGAAGGTCTCCGGGTGGGACCACATGGCTGGGTCGTGGTTGATGGACCACTGGTTGATGAAGATGACCGTGTTCTTTGGTATGGTGTAGCCCATGATGGAGGTGTCTGTGATGGTGGAGTGTGGGATGGTGAGGGGGACGAAACTGGTGAAGCGCATCACCTCGTAAACAAAGGCCATGATGTACGGCAGCTGCAGCTGGTCCTCGATGGAGGGGAGCCGGGTGCGGTCCACCACCTTATCCACCTCCTGCTGGATACGTAGCTGCATCTCAGGATACCTGCGTACACAGTGAGCATGTTTAAGCGACTATAGAGGATGGACATTACATGCATGTCTTCTTAATCTCAATCAGAGCAGCAGACTGAGGAAAAAGCATGTGTACAACCTAATTTATTTTCCCTTCATCGCTCAACTCTTCACATTGTTGTGGAAAACTTCTAGAATTACTGTCTTCATTTAAAACAGGAAGCTCAGGCTGGTGTTGAATTACAGCAGTCGGTTTTATTGTTTAATCCAAGGGCACTGATGGGATTAAACAATTAAACAAGATTAGAAAATGAACTCATTTTAAATCTGGCAAAGGTCTTTGATACTTGTATAGTGAAAATGCTGACTTGGCACCTGACTCAGTCTCACTGGTGTGCAGTTACAGTTCTTTATGTTCTGCTGCCAGTACTTGCCTGTGCCCCAGCTCCCCCACATAAACTGTTACATAACACTACACAGCTTCCTCAGGTGTGGAGCCTCAGCTGCCTGGCTCACTGCCTGCTGTTATATCCCAACATGTTGAATAGTATATGATCAGGGTTTTCAAAAGTTCTGAATAAAATAAAATAAAAGTTACTTACTTGACGAGTATGAGGATGATCCACTGCAGAGCTGTGGACAGAGTGTCTTGACTTGCTCCAAATATATCAGCCATAGTGTTGGTCACGTAGTCCTTCCCTCCTGTGAGTGCACTCTTATCTCCCAGTTGGTCCAGCGCCTCAATAAAAGCATCCGTCATGTCCCTGATGGTGCTCGACTGGATTGTTTTCCTGTGCTCAAGGACTTTATCACGGATAAACACGCCAAACTCCAGATTGAGCTTCTTGAAGTTGTCAAATAGGGTTTTGATGGGGTTGGGGAAGTACTGGAGCCAGGGCATCACGTCCACGATGCTCCCTGCCCCCACAGTCCTGGTGAACTGGTCATTCCTGCCCACCACCTGCCGAAACTCCTCGTCCTCGTACGAGTACCTCTGCCCGAAGCACAACGCGCTCATGATGTTCGCCGTGGACACCACCAGGTAGGTCATGGGCTGGAAGAAGCGGTGCTGCTTGGTCCTGTCCACGAACAGCTGCAGCAGCTCCCTGAACTCGCACAGGACGTGATGCTCTAAAGTCTTTTTAGTGCTCGGGTTCCCGGTGGAGAACATGCGCACGGTGGACTGCGCCATTCTGCGGTGCGCCTTCCACCCTTCCGTGAAGGTGCCAAACGCAAGGCTGTTCCCGTTGGAGATGTACTGGAAAGAGGTGAAGTCGGGTCTCCCGGCGAAGTCGAATCCCTTCTTGACGAGCGCCTGCTTGATGGAGTCCCCGTTCAGCACCACCACGGTGCGGCTGCCCAGTCGGATCTGGAACACGTTGCCGTACTTCTGTGCCATGCGCGTGAAGTACAGGTGCGGTAGTTTGCCGAGTTGCGCCGCGTTGCCGATGAGCGGCCAGGCGAGAGGACCGGGCAGCCCCGGGACAGAGCGCTGCCGGAGCCACCGCCACAGGTGGAGGGAGAAGAGCAGAGTCACCCAGGCCAGTAACACAGCTCTGAGCGTCGACAGGTTGATCCCCTCCATTGTCACATCCATGATGTGGATCCTGCAGCGGGGATGTCACAAAACCATCCACATTAGATGCACATGTCATTAAAGGTGAAGCTCTGGCTGCATATACAGTATAATGTAAAGTTCATTAAATACCTACATATGTCCTGGATTCATCAGCTTGATTTCCCCCCAAATGTTTACTGGTGATTTTGTCTCCCAAAAAATAAAATAAAATAAAGAGCAATAAAAAAAATGAATGGGCTACATTTTATCCCCAAAAATATTTGGTAATTATTCTGAAAAATCTCCCCAAAACAATTACAGCTGTGCTAGAAAACCAGACAGACGAAGACAGTCATTCAGAGTGTGTGCAGCCTGTTGAACATCCACAGTACGTGTGTGTGTATGTATGTGTGTGTGTGTGTGTGTGTGTGAGAGCTGCCGCAGTCTGTCCATGCTTTATAGCACCACTTCGCCGAGTCAAGTCATTTATCCGCGCACAGGCACAGCATCACGGCCCGCGTGTGCCCGAGAGAGCCCTGTCACGGTGGGCAGGGTTGCAGCGGAGGGTGTCACCCCACACACCCACCATCACCACCTCCCTCATCATCCTCCACCCACCTCCCTGTGCTGCTGTCTCCCTCCCTCACAGGACTCACTGACAGTGGTAGCTCGGTGCACAGTCAAAACAAAGTTTTATGTAGGCCTAGATCTGTCCAATTCAAATCATGTTTTATGATAATAGGAAACCCTGTTGTAATCTGTATGAACGGAATGTTTATTATGATGATGATGATGATGATGATGATTATTACTATCATTGCTATTATTATTATTATTACTGGCAGCACCCAGTTATTAGACCAG